GCAGGCAGAGGCGCCAGGTCATGGGCCTGATGTGGCCGGGCCGACAGGGAGCGGCAGGACCTGGGCCCCAGACCTGCCCAAGGCAGAGGTGCAGCCCGAGGCTCAGGACACAGCCCCAAAGGCTAGAAGCATCTGTCATCTCAGTTCAGATCAACATTTGGGGATCACAGGCCTAAAACAGAGTGTGTTGTCCCGATGTGGCACTGGGGGGGTGGGGGGGGGTCAGGGGATGGCCAAGGGCAGCAGACAAGAGCCCTGTCAACGCATCACTGGGGACACCGCCCCCTATTCCAGTCCCCGGGAAGGAAGGAGGTCCGTCTGGCTTCTGCAGGCAGGGTGGAGGCTGGGGCTGGGGGGTTGGGATCTTGGTCGTGGGTGGGGAGGGGGAGGCCGTAGATACTAGACAGTAACAGCTGCTACCACGCTGTGGGGTCACCATCCTGGGCTCCTCTCCACTCTCCATACCCCGGCTGAGCTTGCGGCAGCTGCAGGCACAGGGTCCGATCTGGGCCTAGGCTGCTGGTTTTATATAAAGGCCCAGCGGGCGGAGGTGGCGTTGGGACCTCCAGTCCTCAGGGCCCTTGCTCCCCATCCTTGTCCCCAAGTGGCAGCCACAGTAATTAAATGACTAAGGCCCACCCGTCCCCACCTTCCCACCTGGGCCTTTGCTCCCACAGAAAATATTCCCTTTTGCAGAAGGCGGCCCTGTCGTGGTCGTGTGCCTGGTGGTCAGGCAGGAACTCTGGGGGGGGGGGCTCCGGGAAGGGCAGGCGGCAGGTGCCATAGGAGGGGTGGTCGGAGAGCCACGGGCTCCCTCTCTGAATCCCAGGGGGCCCCCATGGCCGGGGTTTCCAATGCCCACTTTTTAGGTGACTCCGTGACTTGACGGATCCCCCACACTGAGTCTAAATTAGCCCCATTCTGCGGCGAGGGGTCAGCCCACCTCCCTACACCCCTTTGATTTCTCGCAGCTGACACGTCTGGCCGGGACCCAGCACGCTGTCACAGCCTTCGGGACCTGAGAGCTGCGAGATGCAGTGGCTGACACTTTGACAGATTACTGAAAGCCCAGCTAACGGGACTGAAGCACTTCCTCTAAGAAAGCAGCTTTATCTTAGAGCCCCATCTATCCTCAGATAACTCAACTGACAACAGTGCAAACGCATCTGACGGATGGCGGATGAAGTGACAGAATCAATAAAGGGAAGCAGGAGGGGGGGGGGGGGCGGGCCTGACTCACCAACCCTATCGGGACATCCTGGCGGAGTCCGGAGACTCCGGCTCCAAAGCCCAGAGCGGGGACGTGGCAACACAATACGACTGTGGTATCACCATCTCTCCCAGAAGAAAAAAAACAAAGGCACCTTTCAGACATTCAATCCAACACACACGTGCTGCCTGCCGCGTGCCAGGCCCTTTCACGCATCCTGCACGCTCGCCAGAACCCGGCCCCGTCTTGCCGTCCTGCCTGCTTAGACGGGAGCACCAGTTCCTGCGTCTCCGTGGGCACGCTGGCCGGACCAGCTGTTTCTACCCGACGCGTGGCCTGCACGACGCGGTGCCAGGAGGCTCCCCTGCCAGCCGGGGACGCCTGCTGCGGCCTGAAGGACCTGGGCACAGGCAGCAGCCTGCCAGGCCGGGGCACCGCCTCTCCCTGACCTCAGCTGTAAAGTGAGGACTCGAGGCTCCCTTCCTGCCACGGAGGAAGGGTTGTGGCAGCTGGGAGGACGAGAGAGTATCCCGGGGCCGAGCTGCCTTAATCAATCTAAGCCGCCTTTATCTAAGAGGAGGCCCAGAGAACACAGGCTGAGGGGAGAATTTTGCCTTAAAACAGGAGCCTCATCAAGAGATCAGCCCGGCTGGTGTGGCTCAGTGGTTGAGTGTCAACCCATGAACCAGGAGGTCACAGCTGGATTCCTGGTCAGGGCACATGGTGTGGGCTCGGTCCCCGGGGGGGCGTGCAGGAGGCAGTGATTCTCTCTCATCATTGATGTTTCTCTCTCTCTCCCTCTCCCTTCCTCTCTGAACTAAATAAAAAATATATATATTTAAATATATTTTATTGATTTTTTACAGAGAGGAAGGGAGAGAGATAGAGAGTTAGAAACATCGATCAGCCTCCTCCTGCACATCTCCCACTGGGGATGTGCCCGCAACCCAGGTACACGCCCCTGACCGGAATCGAACCCGGGACCCTTCAGTCCACAGGCCGACGCTCTCTCCACTGAGCCAAACCAGTTCCGGCAATAAAATATATTTTATAAAAAGAGAGACCAGGAGGCACCAGCAGGCTCTCATGCCTTTCCTTGGGGGTGGAAGGGGCTGGCCTTCCACTGGGGGCTTTCAGAGCCTTCTGGTCCACGGTTGAGGTTGAGGCGGGAGGAGCCAATGAGCAGGCCCCATTCTACTCCCAGCCTCCAGCCCCCTGCTGCCGACTGCCTGGGAGTGCTGACCTGGAGGCCGCGGGCAGGATGGACTGCAGGTGGGAGAGGAGGCCAGTCCGGAGACTATGCAAAGCTCTGAGCAAAACTGTTCCAGGAAAAGAGTTATGGCCTTGAATCAAAATATCAGGCATGAATGTGAGACACAAAAAATTGCTCTGACGGATTCAAAAGGGAATGACTTTAGGCTCTTTCATTTTTTTGTTTTGTTTTGTTAATCCTCACCTGAGGATATTTCCTCGTTGATTTTAGAGCGAGTGGAAGGGAATGGGGAGGGACAGAGAGAAACATCGATGTGAGAGGCACATCGATGGGTTGCCTCCTGCACGCACCTGGGCCCGGGCCCGGGGCAGGGGCTTGAGCCTGCAACCGAGGTACGTGCCCTTGACTAGAATTGAACCCAGGACCCTTCAGTCCACGGGCCGACCCTCTGTCCCTTGAGCCAAACCAGCCAACACTAGGCTCTTTCTTCTCCTTTCTTTCTTCCAACCTTCTTTCTTTTCTTTTTTTTCAGTCGAAGTGATTGAGAAATGGAGGTGAAGAGGTGGTTTAGAGGGGAATTCAGCTTCAGATACATTTCATTTCAGGCGACAGCAGATAATCCACGTAAGAATGTCCAGCAGGATGAAAACAGATGATAAAGCATCAGGACAGTTTTTTCTTTTGCAAATCTGGTAATACTTCTACTGCTCTCCCTTTTTATCCTGCTTCCATATAATGTGGCAAAAATATCAAGGCAGAGAGCAGAATAATGAAAGTAACCAGGAAAAAAATGTATTTCAAGAAATATTCCAAATCACGTATTAAAATCAACTCCTGTGCCTAAGAACACCAACACCAGACTAGGTATGATACCCAGCGCTGGCAAGGGTGGCATCCTCAGACATGCTGGGAGACAGGCCTCTTCGGGGAGCAAGCTGGCAACATCCATCAAGAGCTATAACAGGTTGAATAGACATTTCTCCAAAGCGGACATACCAATGGCCAAGAGACACATGAAAAAATGTTCAAAGTCACTAATCATCAGAGAAATGCAAATTAAAACCATAATGAGTTATCACCTCACACCTGTCAGAGTGGCTATCATCAACAAATCAACAAACAACAAGTGCTGGCAAGGATGCGGAGAAAAGGGAACCCTCGTGCACTGCTGGTGGGAATGCAGACCGGTGCAGCCACTATGGAAGACAGTATGGAGTTTCCTCAAAAAATTAAAAGTGAAACTGCTGTTGACCCAGCGATCCCACTTCTGGGAATATATCCTAAAAACCCCAAAACACCGATCAGAAAGGATGTATGCGCCCCTATGTTCATAGCAGCGTTATGTACAATAGCTAAGATTTGGAAACAGCCCCAGTGCCCATCAGTAGATGAGTGGATAAAAAAGCTGTGGGACATTACACTGTGGAATACTATGCAGCTATAAAAAAGAGGAGTCCCTTACCCTTTGGGACAGCATGGAGGGACCTAGAAAACATTACGCTGAGTGAAATAAGCCAAACTGAGAAAGACAAATATCACATGATCTCACTCATTTGTGGAACCGAATGAACAAAATGAACTGACCAACAAAATAAGATCCGAAGCAGGGAGGGATGGAATAGACTGACAGGTCGGGTTGGGGACGAGACGAGATAAACCAAAGAACTTCTATACCTACATATATAGCCCATGGACACGGAAATAAAGACCTGGGGGTTGGCTGGGAGGAGGAGGGGGAAAGAGGGAAGGAAATGGGGGATATCGGTAATAGTATCAACAATAAACAATATATTTAAAAAAAGAGCTATAAAGTGTTAATATATTACTTCCAGGAATCCATCCTAAGGAAATGTCCAAAAGAAAGCAGTACGTCTGTTCAATGATCAAATGAGGACACTGGTTGCATGAAGATGCTCATTATAAGTAGTAAAAAACTGGAAGCCACTTAAATATCTAACCATAAAGGGAGAGATTAAGGACATTATAGAGCGTTGGTGGAATGATTACATGGGCATCGAAATTCGAGTTATAAAGACAAGTGGTAACAGGGAAATCTTTTTTCTTCATTTGCCGTAATTTTAAATGAGAGAAAAAAAAAAGCAGGATATGTGATTATAAGACATTATCACAATAACACCTGTGTGAAGGTGGCAGGATTTGGGGTGCATCCTTTCCCTCCACTTTCCAAATCCATCACCTAGCTTTCGATCAGCGGTTCTCAACCTGTGGGTCGCGACCCCTTGGGGGGGGTCGAACGACCCTTTCACAGGGGTCGCCTAAGACCATCCGAAAACACATATATAATTACATATTGTTTTTGTGATGAATCACTATGCTTTAATTATGTTCAATTTGTAACCATGAAAATACATCCTGCCTATCAGATATTTACATGACGATTCATAACAGTAGCAACATGACAGTTATGCAGTAGCCACGAAAATAACTTTATGGTTGGGGGTCACCACAACATGAGGAACTGTATGAAAGGGTCGCGGCATGAGGAAGGTTGAGAACCACTGCTTTAGGTGAAACATACGTGACTGTGAATGTTAAAATCGGCCGGCGGGTTGGTACCTTGGCTCCATCCACACTGATGATCCGATAGCTGTTCCTGATGACATCGTAGAAGTAGGAGACGGTGACAGCCTGCTTGCTCGCAGGCACCCAGTTCTTCTTGGTGTTGGGGTCAATCTGGAAGACGTGCGCGCGTGTGGTGAATATGGGCTGTTCTCTGCAAGACGAGAGACGGGCGCGTGAATTGATGGCGCGTGACTTTATGTATAATTTATTATTTATAAGCCACTACTGTTCCCCAAGATTTTAATCGCTTATAGGGAAAGATACATATGCATGAGGACAATTAAAATAAGAAAAGGGAAGAGAGGGGAGAGACATCAGAGAAGTAGTTACGGGAACCTAACACCCAGGGGCTGTGGGGCAACTGGCATAATAATCCATTTGCTTAAAATGCAACTCCTTGTCCAGTGAGAGTTTTTGCATCCCGCCAACTGTCCTATTTTTTTTTTTTTTCCTGACATCCTGTTGGCATTTTTAGGAATTTGCATCAATTTATTGTGGGAGATTCTGCAATAATGGTTAGGATTTTGCTAACTATTTGTAACCTCATATTCTATTTCTGTTAAGTACTTCTCAAATCCAAAGCATTTTGTGAATGATGCGTTCATTCATAATGGTCCAAGCCTTTAAGTTTTATGTTTCCAACTTATGAACCCTTTGAGTTTTATGTAAAATTCATCAAATCTTTCTCTTTGGCTATTCTTGCCTCTACATTGCTGCTTTTTCATTCCACACACCTGTCAATTCTTCCTGTGATTGTTAACTGTTAAGCACATTATCTATTTTTCTGTTGAGTGGAGAATTAGTTAGACCTTGACAAGGAGCATTAAGAGAGAAGGCAGATGTATAAAAATTGTAATAGATTTCACTGTTTCATATTTTAAATTTCTATTTACAAAGTAACAAAATGAAACAGACTCACTACAAAATACTTATCTTTGGAAAAAAGGATCTTCAGGCAAACTGGCTCAAAAAATCCTTTTAAGTGTTGAAAATAAGATAAAATAGGGGGGGAGTGCGGGGCGGGGGGGGGGGGGGGGAAGGGGAGTGCAGGGGAGGGATTGCCACCAGAACGTAAAAACCATCCCATCCTTCATGAAAATGCTACTGAGTTCATAAGTCCTCGTTAGAGGTAAAACTTAAATCCAACGGTAACTTAGACAAATTAAGTTTTTAAATCCTTACAATGTCAAAAGAGATGACATAAAAGGGCACCCAAAGGGAGACAAAAAACATCAAAAGGGAAAAGGGAAGCGCTCTGGTCTCCAGATGGAGTGGTTTTAGGCAAAGCGGCCTCTGAAGCGTGGTGACTAGGAGGCTGGTTACTGGGAACGAAGCTCTTTCTAAGGAAACTTTCCCAGGAGAGCCAGGCGCCCTCTGCGCATCCTGCAAGGGGCCCTGAACCCCACCAGGAATATGGGCGGCATCCACCACCCGCGGGTGCAGAGAAACGCAGGGCCCGTTGTTGGCATGACCGTTCTCCTCGTGCCCCCTCAACGCAGCTGCTTTGCGAGGCCTGCTTTCCAGAGCGCGGGGACCAGCGTTCCTCGCCCCTGGATCTTTCTTTCCAGGTCCTGGGAGCAGGAGAAGTGCCTCTGGGAATGTGGACCGCCAACAGCCACTGAGTGCACCCACCCACTCAACCCTAACCCGACACCCTCCGGCACAGGCTGAGCACTGCAGACACAAGGGGAATATTCCCCCTGCAGCTGCCGCAGCTGCTCCGGGGGCAGCCTGGGGGGCGCGTGCGCATGAACACAGCCCTCCCAGCCCAGCCCACGTGGGCAAGCTGACATCTGGGGGCCCAGCTGTGCTGCTGCCGGCACAGGCAGCGTATTTTGCTACTCGTCTAAGTTCCCCACCACAGAGGAAAACGCTTGATCACGTGGGATTCTCCGGCACAAGGGAGAGGAGGGGGCGGTGGGAAGGGGTTTTTAAAGGACTGAATTGTGCTAAAACCCTGCCTCCCTTGTGCAGAGCACTAACAAGTCCCCCCCTAGAAGGATGGGGCTTCCAGACCTTCCCTCGTGCCCTCCACACCCAGGGGGAGAGATCGGGTCTGGGTTGCAGCACCTTAGACCTCCGAAGGCAATTAGCTGGGGCACTTCAACTACAAATACGAGTGTCCCGGCCCCAGCCTCGCCCCCAGGGACCTGGCTCTCCAGGGCAGGGGCCTGAATAGCTTATTCTTCACAGGACTTCCAGGAGGTTTTTATCCTCAGAGAAGCTGGGGAGACCCTCACACTAGACAGTATCAGAAGATCTAGAAAATAATGGAAGAAGTGACAGATACAGCCAGCATCTCTCCTCCAGAATGGCACGGCTGACTGTGAATGGCACAGGGTAACTCTAGAATGTCCTCCCACAGCCCCCGGGGGGACAACGGTGGGACCAATAACAGGGTCTTTGGGTGCGAAGGATGGGGGTGGGGGGACAGGGGAGGCAGAGGTGCTCTGGTCAGGATAAAGGGCAGCTTGGGGGGCCAAGCAGTGAACCTTCCTCAAACAGTCCATGTCCCTGAAGCCCACAGGAGCGAGCAAGCGAAGAAAGCAAAGCAGAGAGGGACAGAGGAGAAGGGACAGGGAGACAAGAAAAGACGGCAGGGCTTTCTGATCAGGGACAAGCGAACTCAGCAAGTCTGTCTGGCATGATTCTGGCCGAGGTGAGCATGCAGACAAGAAGGGCCCATCTTGCCCTGGCTGGTTTGGCTTAGTGCAGCGGTTCTCAACCTTCTGGCCCTTCAAATACAGTTCATGTTGTGACCCAGCCATAAAATTATTTTCGTGGCTACTTCATCACTGTCATGTTGCTGCTGTGATGAATCGTCATGTAAATATCTGATATGCAGGATGATGGTCTCAGGCGACCCCTTCGAAAGGGTCGTTCCACCCCCAAAGGGGTCGCGACCCACAGGTTGGGAACCGCTGGCTCAGTGGCTAAAGCATCGACCTGTGGACTGAAGGGTCCGGGTTTGATTCCAGTCAAGGGCACAGGCCCCGGGCTGTGGGCTCCATTCCCAGTGGGGGGCGTGCAGGAGGCAGCCGATCAATGATTCTCTCATCATTGATGTTTCCATCTCTCTCTCCCTCTCCCTTCTTCTCTGAAATCAATAAAAATATATTTAAAAAATAAAAAATTAAAAAAAGAAGGGCTCATCTCCAAATCTGCCTGCTCAGCTCTGGGGGGGACCTGATGGGTTGCCCTCGGGACCCCAGCCAGAAACGCCATTTCTTGGGAGGGCACAGCTGACCGCATGATCGGTGGCCGCAGCCCTGGTCACCGTGGCCAGGCCTCTGCAGGGACAGTGGCTGCTGCCGGGTGGAGAGAGGCACCGAGACCTGGGGGGGGGAGCGGCAGGGACTCCCGCCGGCCCCATCATCGGGAGTGGGGGCGGCACCATGGCGGTGCCCCTCAGTCCTCAGCACCTACACAGCCAGCCTGGCAGCAGCTCCGTGCCCAGGAAACTACCCACAGGGCTGGGATTTCCACACGCAGGACCAAGTCTGAAGCCACCGGGATGTTCTATTTCAGTCTTCTGAAATTCAAAAAACCGGATGGTGTTTAAAGAAAAGGCCCCAAATACACAATGATAAAAAGAAAAGCCAGCAGCTAATATTTACTGACGATGCAGCATTCTGCCAGGCTTTACAGGTGATCTCTCACTCGGGGTCCCAGTGATCCTAAGGGGAAGCCGTACAGCTGCGGAGAGGCCAGGACCCGGCTTGGGTGACACAGGGAGTGAGGGGCAGGTGGGCAGATCTGAGATTTTGAAGTCGGTGCAAGTGGCCTGGACAGCGTCCCTCTTAAGCATTATGCTGTTCTCTCTCCCTAAAATAAGGGTCTGTACCTGGCAGCTTCTTCTTTTTTTTTTTTTTTAAATATATTTTTATTGATTTCAGAGAGGAAGGGAGAGGGAGAGAGAGACAGAAACATCAATGATGAGAGGGAATCACTGATTGGCTGCCTCCTGCACACCCCCTACCGGAGGATCGAGCCTGCAACCAGGGCATGTGCCCTTGGCCAGAATCGAGTCTGGGACACTTCAGTCTACAGGCGGACGCTCTATCCACTGAGCCAAACCGGTTAGGGCCTGGCAGCTTCTGATGTGTCTCCCAATGATCCCACCTCCTTGTACTCACCTCATGTACCCCCCCGCCCACCCCCCGAGCAGGGGTAGGACCTGTGATTTGCTTTGAACCAAAAGAATATGGCAAAGGAGATGGGATGTCCCTGTATAAGCAAGTTACGTAGGACGGTGACTTCTGTCTTGCTAGCAAAGTCTCTCCATAGGGTCTCTCTCGCTGGCGTTGATGAAGCCAGCTGCCAGGGTGGGCAGGCCCACGTGGCAGGCACGAGGGTGGCCTCCAGCCAACAGCCAGAGTGGAACTGAGGCCCTTCATCTAAAACCACTCGAGTCCTAGCCGGTTTGGCTCTGTGGCTAGAGAGCCTCAGCCTGCAGCCTGAAGGGTCCCGGGTTCAATTCCAGTCAAGGGCATGTACCTCGGTTGCAAGCACCTGGTTGGTGGTACATACAGGAGGCAACCAATCGATGTGTCTCTCGCACATCGGTGTTTTTCTCTGTCTCTTCCTCTTCCTTCCACTCTCTCTAAAAATCAATGGAAAAAATATCCTCGGGTGAGGATTAAAAAGATAAAAATGAAAATAAAACCAGCCGAAACCGGTTTGGCTCAGTGGATAGAGCGTCGGCCTGTGGACTGAAAGGTCCCAGGTTCGATTCCGGTCAAGGGCATGTACCTTGGTTGCGGGCACATCCCCAGTAGGAGATGTGCAGGAGGCAGCTGATCGATGTTTCTCTCTCATCGATGTTTCTAACTCTCTATCTCTCTCCCTTTCTCTCTGTAAAAAATCAATAAAATATATTTAAAAAAAAAAAAAAGAAAAGAAAACCATTCGACGGCTGGAATTGTGCCAGCAACCGCTTGGAAGCTTAGCAGTGGGTCTCTCCACAGCTGAGCCTTCAGCTGAGACCCCAGCCCTGGATAACAACCTGATGACGCCTTCTAAGAGACTCCGAAGCCAAGGACCCAGCTAAGCCATGCGTGGACGCCTGGCCTGCGGAAAAGTGCTTTCCCTGAAGCTGCTAAGTTTGTGGCAGCTCATTACACAGCAATAGATGACTAAGACGTGGACCTT